ATAGCTTCAGTGTGCAGTGCAGAGAGCTTCATTCATTAAAATGGAAGTTTGTGAGATCACGATGAACTAAGAAGAGTGACAGCTTTTAAAGGGAGTTTGCAAATGTGAAATTTTATTTATACGACAGGTTTAGGCCTATACATTTTTGATTTTATACAAAAGTTAATATTAAGTGACTTACATTTTAGGAACACTGTTGTCTGATTGTACTCTATTTTGTCAACGAAAATAGTTCCAAAGTCACAGTGTCGCTGTGCATCTCCAAGCAAACACAGTGCTGTTTAATTTATGAATGAATCTGCGTTTTTGAACAAATCTAGTGAGTCAATGATTCAATGACCCATTCATAAAGAGAGTCACTTGCTTCGTTCCTAAATGAATCAGCTGTTTGAACGAATCGATTGAATGAATGATTCAGTGACAAAGACAGTGACTTGCTGCCACCTACTGGCAGTTTCAGTTTTATTTTTAAAGTATAAATTGAGTCATTTAAATCGTTTGATATTTCTGTATTCAAAACTTTATATTTAAAACATTAATTTCATAACATTATTATGAAATGCATTAATGCCACCTCTGAGTCTTGTCAAAAAGTCTGTAAATATACCTTAACGCCACATTTGTGCTCTTCTGTGCTGTGCAAAGATGAATTGTTGATGCCGATTTCATTTGACTAGTAACTTATTCTTCCTGATTGTATTTTATTATTTTAATTAAATTTATTGTTTAATTAAAATTTTTGATAAAAGTTTAACAATGAAAAATTTTTGGCACAAAAGATGACATACATTTGATAAAGGTGGAGGAATTACAAAGGTTTAAAAAAAGAAAAAAAAAACTTTAAGGAGTCAAATATCGCCTTATAATGGGAAGGTTAATTTCCGTCAATGATCAGATAACAAGTGCTCCTGAAAAGAAATGTAAGTGGCATAGAGTCCTTAAGAATGTAAAGTTACCTTTTAAAAACTAATTGCAAACGTTTATGCAAAGTGTAAACTATTAAATATCTACAAATCATGCAATACTGTACCACTAAATAAGAAGTGTTTTGAGGGCTTAGCTAAACAGGTCAATTAGAGACCATTAATAATCATTCTCATTTTTTTATTAAATCAATCTTTCATTTATCTAATCTTTTTTTTTTTTAATGAAACACAATGGGTCATTAAATGATGCTTACATCACACACACACACACACACACACACAATGTATCTTTAATTTGGCCAGAATTGCAGGTGCCTGTCTTAATATCCAAGAAGGTTTAGAGAAAATATGAAATAAGTTTAATGTTATTATAGAGGGTTTGATAATTAAATGCATCCGAAAGGTCATCTAAAATTACCATTATTACCCTCTCTCCCTTTCCAAGCTAGAGTCCTCCCAGTGAATTTTGGCCATTTCCACCACTGGTTACACGTAATATCTGAGGGAGCGCAAAGCCATGATCACACATACATACATATATATATATATATATATATATAAGCCTGCTGTAAGCCGAGAGATGTGCTGGCGCCTTCTCGTATTACAATAATGCACTCTCGACATTTGCCATTAAAATAATGCCAAAAACTGCCTCAAATGAACTATAAATATGAGAATAAAGTCATAAAAGCTGCAATCCATTTCTTATTGGTTGAAAGGAATGAAGACTATCTTGTTTTCCACGGGACCGGTGCCTATGGCATTTAAAATAAATGTTGTTTGTAATGATCGGCACTATAATATATTTTTTTATATATACATATTCTTTTTTTTTTTGTTCTGTTATGAATGCCACAATTTAAATGATTTGGAGTGAGGGGAAGTAAAATTCATGTTAGTGTTTTTCCCTAACGTGTGTTTTATTTCGACCTATTCAGTATTTAAATTATATCTGAAAGTGGTAACACTTTACAATAAGGTTCATTAGTTAAACATTAGTTAATGTATTAACTAACATGAACTAACCATGAGCAATACATTTGTTACTGTATTTACTAATCTACGCTCACGTTAGTTAATAAAAATACAGATGTTCATTGTTAGTTCATGTTAGTTCACATTGCATTAACTAATGTTAACAAGATTTTAATAATGCATTAGTAAATGTTGAAATTAACATTAACAAAGATTAATAAACGCTGTATAAGTGCAGTTCATTATTAGTTCATGTTAACTAATGCAGTTAACTAATGAACCTTATTGTAAAGTGTTACCCTGAAAGTAATAGTAAAATACAACTTACACCCCGATGCAACTTATGTTTTGTTCCCCCCCCCCCGACCTGATGCAACTTTATGGAAAATATGGTCAATTTAATTATATTATGCTCTAGTATTAAAAAGTACATATACAATGGGGACCATTTGCACCAATAAAACATTCATATTATGTTCATTCCTCCTACCCATATTAAACTTTAGCTTTAAACGGTTATAATTATGAGGGGGTCCTTGGAAAATTCTCTCCCCTGTAAGGGGTCCCTGGCTCCAAAAAGTTTGAAAACCCCTGACCTAGAACACTTTAGCAACCGCACAGCAACACACCAAGAACATCACTAGTGTGTAACCACCCAGTAGAAAATCGCGACACACGAGCAGAACAAATTCGCCCAAATCGTTCTTAAAACCATTTGCTTTCATGCACTTGGCAGACGCTTTTATCCAAAGTGACTTAAAGTGCATTAAAGAAACTTTTCTTGGTAAAATCAAACTGATAATCAAACCCACAACCTTGGTGTTGCTAATGCCATGCTCTGTAGTTGAGCTACAGGAACAGAAACAAGGAATTGTTACAATAAAAAATAAAGACGCAAAAAAGATTCAGACCGATTTCCGTTTGCGTTTCATAAATGAGGCCCAAAGTAATGTAATTATTTAATTTTATTTTGAGTAATGTATTGATGTAATGCATAATTCCCATCTCTTCTCCTCTTTCATCCCTCAGTAATCCATACTAGCCCTGTCTGTGTTTACTGTCCGTTCATTCACTTTAGCTAAATGTTTAAAGACACTTTTTGTTATTCAGGTTTACACAAAAAGATCATGTTCTGTCTTATTGGGACATTAAGACACTCGGAGCATCTTAGGAGTACTTCAGTGGTGCGTCAAAGGTCTGGTGCACACCTCACCGTGAGATGACTCATGGACGCTGATGAGTAATGTTTACGTGTTTATTTGAAATGCACCTCCCATCCTGGATGTTCATATGGCTTCCTTGCATCTGCGTGATTTGAACAGTGGTCCTCTTTAAACATCCAGACAGCATGTTGTCTAATTAGATGATACCATGGAGCCTCAGCTGCCGTCAGACAAGTGAAGCTTTGACGAAATTTAAAAAGCCATTAGAGAAATGTAATGTAGCTACCGGTGATATGCATGAAAGTGTTTGAAGATGAAGCATGATATTTTGGAAGCGTGTTATTTTATTTTATGACGTTTTAAGCTCTTGGTTTACACGACAACTACATAATGACAAATACTACTGCAGAAGTACGTGAAATGACCACCAAGTTTCTATGGTGTTGTGAGTAGTTGCCAGGGTGCCATTATGTGGTTTCTAAGATGTTCAAAATGGTCTTAAGCATGTTGCCAAGGCATTCTGAGTGGTTGCCTGGCCAAACAGCCCAAAAGTACTTGCCTTAGAAAACCACATCAATTATTGTTTCCCAAACACTCATAGCAGCTGATTAATCCCACCTCTAATCGGCTGTTGGTTAGATAATCTGGAAGTTCCACCCCAAATTTACACCATTGGTTGAGCTAAAATATAACGCTTAAATAACATTTTAAAAAGCACACGTGAATATTTGACAGAATGAACATTTGCTACAGTGGAAAAGAAAAGTCAAGTCACAATTGGTGGCTGACTAAATACTTTTTTTCCCCACTGTATATGGCGCTTTATACAATACATATGGTGTCAAAGCAGCTTTACAGTGTTAAACAGTGCTGATAATGCAAGAGGACAATAGAAACGTCTGTTTTTTTCCTGTTAAAGTTGGTTCATCGTTGAAACAGTGACGTCATCATCCAGCTCAGTTCAGTTCTTTTCCAATAGTGTCTGTGCAATCAAGTCAAATATTGCCAGAAATGGTTCGAAATTCGAAGGAACAGAACACAGCAGACTGAAATGTTTCATTATATCCTTCTGTTCTGTTGTGTTATACAGATATTCTTGTGATATCAATGTCACATTAAAATTCCAAGCATTACATTATTTTCCCTGATGGATAAAAATACAGCACGATGGAAAATTCACGGGTTATTCAGTCAGATAAGACAACCTTATTTGAAAAAATGTTTGTCCTTTTCAGTTGAAGTTTCCCAAAATGGAAGTGCTATTTATAATTTAAACCCTGGTCAGAAAAGGTGGATGGTCATCCCTACTGCAAATTAAACTGGGATATAATCAAGTACTTTTTTCCCCCTGTAAATGAAGTATTTTTACATTTTAGCCAATAATCTCTCTCCAAAAAATCTTTCCCAGCCCATTCATCCAATAGCAATTCCAATCACAGTTTCTCTTCAGCAAATTTCGTTTAGTCCCCCTCACAAAGACAGGAAGTACTGAATTCACAATGGGCATGGGGGGCGGAGCACATAAGTGAAAAGATCCCCCCCCCCCATACACCCCACCTTGGAATTTTTTTTCCGGTGAAGGTCACAGTCCACTGCTCTTCATTGCAGTGGAACCCAGCCGGTTCCTCGGACTGTAATGCTTTTGTGTATAGACCCTTTTCCCACACACCCCTTACCAAATACACCCCTTCAGACCAGCACTGGCCCCCTCTCGCCCAAACAACAAGAAACAAAACTAAACAAACGGAGAGTTGGATCTATTTAAAGAAGCTTCCAATTCCAAATTTAGCCCCATCTAAAGAGAACAGACATGAAAAACTGAGTTCTTTGGAAGCGGTTCAGTAATATGAAACAAAAGGTCCTGCTTGCAACGTAAGACTTGGTGAAAACATGACTGTGTTTTGCAATAAATAACCAAGGGAAATAGCAGCATTACCTCGTTTCCGTGCATATTGCCCACATATTTGAATTCCGGGATGCCCGTTCGGTGTTCTCTGGGATGTTGACCCAGTATTAAGACCCAGAGTTCTCTTCCTAGAAAGACAAAATGTAAATGTTAATCGACTGCAAACAAATGTTTCAATAAGTAAATCAGTGAATTTGCAACTGAATTGAGTGCTGTGGATCTTGTGCGGGTCACATTATTAAATGTCTCAGTTTTCTGAGTTAACCAGATACTCAAATAATGTTTTTGCACAGTTTAGGCAGGAACCTGGCAACCCAATCCCATGTAATCTCACGTCTAGCTCTAATTCACTCTGTCTGCTTGTCTCGGTCTCTAAGGACTACTGAATATGGATCTCATATTCACTGCACAAGTTAAAGCATGCTTGCTTCAGGACAACTTAAAAAAAATTTTTTTAAAGATGAGCTTAAAAAGGGTAATGAAGTCTTCCAAACCATGACCATTTGGTCAAAATTTAAAGAGTGTAATATAATTACAATTTTAATGTAACTTTTCAATTTTAATATTATAGATTAAATTTTTTTTTAAAATACGATTAAATAATAAATCAAATATGTTATATAAAATATATATAACTAAATGGTCTGATACGCACCCACAATACTATATAAATTTTTTCTATGTGAAACTTCCAGTTGGTCTACCTGGGAGAACGCTTTCCATAGTGTACCTTTACAAAGATCATCAGAGGCCATCCTGAACATCCCCAGGCACCAAAGATAGGGGTACTATTGTACCCTCCCTCCCGCCAAGTAAGCTGTGGTGTGTGTGGTCCATGTAAAGTTCTCTAAGCTGTGGACCTCGAAATACTTGAAGCCTTTCACTCTTACTACAGGGTCCTCTCTCTAAGTTCACAATAGTTTCTTTAGTCTTGTTGACATGCTGTTAGAAAAAGTGTCAGGTTCTCGATCTCCAACAGATTAGCTACTTTTATACACATTAAATTCATGTAAAATTACTGGATTAACTTTTCTGCTAAAATATACCCATTATTGAACACCAAAATGTAATTAAAACAGCCTCTGAGACTGGAAATATAATAGGATACTAACAATTTGAGAAAAAAAATGCATTTGGTGCTGAATAATGCAGTTGTTCTGTGTCCAACTCTGTGAATGGGTCAAACTATTTGAAAGGAGACTTCTTATGGTACGTCAGCATCCCGTACGTGCTCAAACATGCACGCCAATATTATGGATTTGTTCAGACATACCATCGAGAGAGTACTTTAACAGCTTATTTTGGCATTGTCTGCACTGATATGACATTCTGACAGCGAGTCCTGTTCACACACAACCTCCAAACAGAAAAATGCAGATTTACAGCCAAGTATCTGTGTCATCAGCAAAGACGATGGTCTTCTGGTCAAATACGCTCCAATATGCTGCAATAATCAGAGCTACTATTAACACACCTGGACTTTTATTCCCAAAGCAGCAAAAGAGTAGGAGTGATCTTGCATGTTTTTTTTGTAGGATTAAAATTTGACTCCTTTAACACTAGAACCGCCACTTTTACCCGTGGCTGTTTTTCCAATGTACATAAAAGATTTTAAATAAAACATTCAAGTCTCCCAGTCATTGACTTTTACTAAAATTATGTAATTTACAAACCAATGTCGTTACAAATTTAGATAAAACCAGATAAAAAAACGGGGCATTTATACCTATAAACGCCAGCGTGTCAAATGTACCCGCTATATAATGCATGTATTTCTAGGCAACGCCTTTCACTCACTGATTTAGCGGTTATCAGTTTCATAATGTCAAAATGACAAAAAAAGGCGATTTATGGAAGGTCGGTATTAGAAACACTAAATACCATGAGTGATGGAGAGTCTGATGGTAAGTTATGCATCCTGGGTCAGCTCAGCATCTGACAGTGATCCAGATATTATATTTACATGTTTTAGCCTCACGTTACTCTAACTGGTCAAACTTTGGTTTAATTATTTAATTTTTGTCTTGCCATATCGTTTATTGTTTGCTACCGTGTTGCTATTCTAGTCTGGCCATTTCCTGAAGAAGAAAAAAAATCCGATCTATATGATGTAATGAATAAAACCATTTTTTGATTACCCAAAGTTTAATGTTGTTCTCTTATTCAAATTATAAATGATATAACTAAAATTAATAAATATTTAGGTGAAGCTGTGCGCTTGAATTTGTCATCGCATCATGCAGTGTGGTGAATTATTATTGCTCATTATTGTTTATAGGCTATTTTAGTCATTTAAATACCATGGGTTATCTTAATATATTGATAAATGACAATGTATTATAATATTACACCACCCAAATATTTAGGCTACTACCCTCTAATTTCCGTTGCCAGTGCAGACTTTTTTTTGTTTCGTTTTTTTTAACTTAGGCTACTGACCCCTGGGTCAGCTCAGCATCTGACAGTGATCCAGATATTATATTTACATGTTTTAGCCTCACGTTACTCTAATTGGTCAAACTTTGGTTTAATTATTTAATTTTTGTCTTGCCATATCGTTTATTGTTTGCTACCGTGTTGCTATTCTAGTCTGGCCATTTCCTGAAGAAGAAAAAAAATCCGATCTATATGATGTAATGAATAAAACCATTTTTTGATTACCCAAAGTTTAATGTTGTTCTCTTATTCAAATTATAAATGATAACTAAAATTAATAAATATTTAGGTGAAGCGGTGCGCTTGAATTTGTCATCGCATCATGCAGTGTGGTGAATTATTATTGCTCATTATTGTTTATAGGCTATTTTAGTCATTTAAATACCATGGGTTATCTTAATATATTGATTAATGACAATGTATTATAATATTACACCACCCAAATATTTAGGCTACTACCCTCTAATTTCCGTTGCCAGTGCAGACTTTTTTTTGTTTCGTTTTTTTTAACTTAGGCTACTGACCGCTATGGATTAGTGTAGCCTTCATTAGAAAAAGTCTTGAGCATAAAACAACAGGATAAAAATAGTTCATGACTAGACAATCATTTCATGACTCTAGACACTTCTTTGTGAAGACAGTGGCATAATACAGTGAAATATGTTCTTTAGCCATATAAATACAGTTATCATGTGCGTGGGTAAAATTTACCCGCTGGTGCTTTTAGATATACAGCGACCTCTGGCGGTTCTAGTGTTAAGGCGGCATGAAATGAAACTTCACACCATCTGTTTTCTAAATGCACGTTATTATAGATCTTATTGTGAGCAATGAATCAGTGTATGTTTTATTTCTTAATGTTTTGACCTCATAATGTTTAGGCTAAATCAGAAGTTATAACTGAACCAAAATAGTCATAACCAAATCACCCACATCTTAAAGTCCCCGCCCTACATTTTTTCAGTAATCCATTACACTTGGATGTACGTCACAATATGGAAGAAAAGATCTGACACTACTTCCGTTACGTTGTGACTTTAACAGCAGCTAAGATGACTCAACCACCCAATTGTTCAAATCACAAAAAACGCTCCATTCAATTTCCTCCATGAACAGATTTTTTTGCACTTCTGTACATATCTGAAATCCAGTGTTAAGGCGGCATGAAATGAAACTTCACACCATCTGTTTTCTACATGCACGTTATTATAGATCTTATTGTGAGCAATGAATCAGTGTATGTTTTATTTCTTAATGTTTTGACCTCATAATGTTTAGGCTAAATCAGAAGTTATAACTGAACTAAAATAGTCATAACCAAATCACCCACATCTTAAAGTCCCCGCCCTACATTTTCTCAATAATCCATTACACTTGGATGTACGTCACAATATGGAAGAAAAGATCTGGCACTACTTCCGTTACGTTGTGACTTTAACAGCAGCTAAGATGACTCAACCACCCAATTGTTCAAATCACAAAAAACGCTCCATTCAATTTCCTACATGAATAGATTTTTTTGCACTTCTGTACATATCTGAAATCTAATTACTGCGGTTTATCAAACAAGACAAAATGATGTGCAGAATTATGAATGATTAAAGGATTTCTTTCAGCAGTGTAATCTTGATTCGCTGTTGCCAAATGACAAATGGCATTGGTCTGGGTTGATAATCACCATACGAGAGCTTTAGTTAATTAGGCCCAACTAATCAAGCATATGAAACATAATATTACATCAGAGATAATCATAGCCCATGTCCACCTCCTGTTCTTTCCCCGGTGGGCAACTGTAACACTGATTAGGCAGAGACAGGGTGGTCAACAAACAAGAACGGCCTTCCAGGCTAAGCAGCTGGTGCCCTAGATTACCTCTAGTCAGCTCAGGTCTCTTATTCTCTGGCCTTAAATAGGCGACACAGCGGGATTAGGACAAGGGCTTAGCCTGACGGGGCAAGAGCGCACAATGGCTACACAATCTACTTGAGGTCTGAAGTGATTGGAAAAATGGGCTTTACAATCAGCCAGTAACAAAGGCTCCCAAGAGATGAAGGAGATGGGTACAACTTCATTAAGGGGTTGCTTTCTTGAAGTGCAACTCCATCAGCTAAATGAAAAGATATGGTTCCACAGTGTCCTTGAATTAGCTTCAGACACTACCTGCATTAGAAGAAAGATCTTTAACCGGGGAAGCAGATGTTTACTTGAGGTTTTAATCAACTAAAGTGGGCCCAAAGGTCAGCCTTGGGGCACACCGCTTGCCCAGAGATGAAAAAAAACAAGATTTGGACTGAAGCATATGGAAGACCACCCTTATAGAAACAGAGGTTGAGAGAATTCGTACAGCGTGATATTAGCATCTAAATCAGATGGAGAAAAAGAGAGAGAGAGAGAGAGAGAGAGAGAGAGAGAGAGAGAGAGAGAGACCTGGCAGTGAATGTGTTCTACTCAATGATGGTTTTGTGCAGAGCCAAAAGAGCAACCTGATCCACGGACCGAATTAACCTGAAATGTCACGGACTAGCAGCAAGTTCAAAGATAAGCCAATGTCTCCATCACTCTGTAATCTTAAACACCATAGCTGTGAGCTACGTGGCCACAGTAACTCAACAAAATTACTTTATTAATAGCAAAAAAAATCAGTATATTAATTGCAGGGAGTGTTAGATTTTGATGAAATTAAAATCTGAAA